AAAGGTGGGATAGTGCCTTTAAAAGTCAATGGAGAAAAATGAAAATGCCTCTAGATCCGTGTGTACGCATAGGAACAGTCCAAATATTTCAGAATCACGATGATTTGCACCACCCGTGACGACCAGGTCTTTTTTGCTGATAACCTCTAAAAAGGGCATCCGAATTCCGAGGTCATTTGAGGCTACAAACATATTTTTGCCAATAACTCCCGATTGGAAAGAGATAGAACGCTGGAAATGGCTTCATTGTGTTTCTCTTGTCGAGACGCATCGAATGGTATGCAACATGACCTATTTGGGTCACCAGGTGACCTTAGCCTGAGGTCAAAATTTGACATTGACTTTTCCAGGTAAAAAATATATGTTACGAAGCGGCTGAAGGAGAGAAACACGATAGTGCCATTGTTAATTCTTAATCTTTGCTGGTTCAAAAGTTATTCGTGGAAAAGGTTTTAATAAAAAACAGCTATTTTCACAATATTTGACCTATGGAGGCTTAACCGTTGACCTAAGATCAAGTTTGATAATCTTATCAAAAGAAGAGTTCAAAAGCTATCGATTGCTTTTCCATGCGTTTTTCTAGCTATCATAGTTCCTGGGATAACTGCATGTTTTCTGAAAAATATAATGACATATGACAAATTTTGACCTTTGATGACCTCCAGTGACCCCATTATTGCTCTAAGATGAACAATGACCGAAATACTTTCAAACGTACGTATTGAGAGAGCTATCGACTGCGTTTACCGCGTCTTTCTAGCCCTCTTAGTTTTTGAGTTAGAGGTGGGTGGTAACATATGCCCCCCCCCCCCACTAGGGCGAATTTGGCTGAGACCGCCACTGGGGCGCGGGTTAAGAATAGGCACACGCACCAACTCACGTCCATTCCCACTCCGCCATAGACGTATCATGGACAGCCGGCGCTGCTGGCAGCCAGCTGCGACTGAAGCACATTTCTCCGAACCTCCCCTGTACATTGCCACGAGAAGTATGTTTTTTTTTTTGTAAAAAATAAGAATCTATAAGCTGTTTGTCAGCGTGCGACGGTTATACAGGCCCTACTACCAGCCGCCTCTGTTTTAATATCACAGACGGCACGTATGCCACCCTCATCTTACGCACTTTTTATTTGTCACATTCGCTCTGAAAGTTCTCAAACTCCCTGACCGGTCAGTGAGTTTACGAACTCCCTAGTGACTTTGTAAACTCCCTAGGGAGTTTGCAAACTCACGGATTTCTCAAACTTCCTGTAACAGGTATATCATTAAAATGCTGACAGTGAGCTGGTTTTAATCATGTAATTTTTTATCAAAACCTCTGGATGGCCTTTTTCAAAAATGACGTTTAAAAAACGTGCAATATTTCATTTAATGAGACTATTTTATCTTGAAAAAATTATGAAGTGGCCTTTGAATGCGTTTTTGGGACGAGCCCGCACCGTACCCGAATATTCATTTATCGGACGCTCTACCTCCGAGGATTGACCCCGTGACGTCAGACGCGTGACCGAGGCGGCCGTGGCCCCTGGGCAGCGCGCCCCTGGACGGGCGACGGGCGTGTACTCTCATGGCTCCGGTCCATCAGGTGAGAGCTCGTGCATTACAAGTTGGTTTTTACGATCGTATTTGGCTATCTATCGCCACAGCTTTTTGGCGTCGGGCAGGTAGTTAAAGGGACCCTCCCACCTTAACATTAGATTTGAGTTGAGATAGCCAAAATGGGGTCCCTGGCTCACAATTACCGGTTTCGGCACTCACAACATCGAGAAATGCCTTAAATCGGAAATATTGAATTTCAAAATTGCAGCGTTTTGACTCAGAGGGGCTAATGCTTTTGAATACCCCTCTGAATGTGTGACGTCAGCGGAGAACTAACAGTTTTTTAAAACTTTTACTAAAACGTTTGGTAGCACGCGGTGGTATATGCTGCTTTGCGCGCAACAAATGCCGCACTTTCAAATAAAGTCGCTAGGAACAGCGGATATCCCAAAAAGTAAACAAAAGTAAAAGTCTAATATCTTGAAAACCGGTGAATATTTTTCGATGAAATTTGGTAGATATTCGTTTTCGCTCTTTCTGAACCGGGCGACATCACTTTCATGCCAATTCATTAACTTTTGTGAAGGTGGGAGGGTCCCTTTAACTGTGTGTCTACTGCGAGATAATGCCCACGACAGTAGTTTATGCCCACTAGATAGTTTCTGCCGTATTGTGAGTTGCCAGCCACTGAGGCCTGTCTCTGCAACCAATCACACATGCAGCGGCACTTGCATATTTCTCTCAAGTCCCAGACCGTGTACACAGTATGTACACATGCACTGTGTCGCCTGGTGGTATGAATCGCTACAGTCGGAGACATTAGACATTTATTCTCCCAGACCGTGTACACAGTTAACATTGACTTAGTCGTCTGGCGGTATGACTTAATTTAACCGTTCGGCTTATGGGCCGAATTTACGGCGTGCAGCCTCTTTTACTCTCGCGCTTGTAGGGGAGAGAGTTGGGTGAACCCTCTTATTTTTTTCTTCAGAGGACTCAGAATTCAGTGGAATTTTCAGTAGCCAGTGATGCCACTAGGCAGTTTACCATGCCATTTGTATACTCCGCTCCAAAAATCACAATCCGAAACCGTTACCGTGACGCAAAATAAGTACATTTATAGTAAGAACATCTTCCTAATCTTCCAACAATGACCCAAATGTTTTTTTAAATAAATAAAACTTAAAAAAATGTGATCCCAAAGCTCACAAAATGCAAATGAAAGAAAAATCGAGACGTCGTTTATCAAAGATATTTTTAATGCATATTATCCTTTGTTTAATTGCAAGTTCAATGCTCTGTAGCATTCGGCATTAGGATAATCCGTCTTAGACTTACAGCCCGCCAAGCTTGGCGCTGTAACGCAAGGTCCAAAACACTATAACCAAAAAATACCCAGCTGATCAGACTGAAATTGTTACGGCGGATTCAGAGCCCAAAAATACACGTCTCAGCCCGTGCGGTCGTATCTCTCTCCTTCAGTGCCTCCGCCACACTATTTTGAATCTTACCTCAAAATTCATTTCAGGTCAAACATAAAAAACGGAATATAGGGTATGTGATACAGTGGCCGTTTTCACGACGGAATAGCAGGCATCTATTTAATCCCCATTTGATCCTTTGGTTCCTCAGGAATTTTAGTAGTTCTTTTTAGTAGGTTCCCCAGCTTTCGAATGAATGGTGCGTTAGTTTGCTATTTTTCTATTAAATATCACATCGACTTACTTTATCTAAGGATTTATCACTAATATCAACATAAAGCGTAAGCACAATTATAAAATTATGAAATTATTAAATACTAGTACAATAGTTAAAAAAAGATACTGAGTTGCCAGGCTACAAAGAATATATTCATTTATGGCGCACGACAGACATTTAGAAAGCAGCGCCCTGTTTTATTGCACGCTGCTAGCCGCTTCCATTGGGTTTTGCAGGCCGTCGTCATTGGTCGTTACACGTATGATGTCACGCGACTTGTGGCCTGTCACGGCTCTTTAATGATCTCCACTAAATGAATGCAACAATGGCCTTTTAAGTTGATCTCTGTGGCCATCTGTCTATGGAGCGACCAATATGAAAGTTGGGTGAATTTACCGGGGTTACATGACTATGAGCAAGCAAATGTGTATCAGGAATGGATTTAGGTGGAGAATTGCGCTGGACCATGAGTGCTCGAACGCTCCCAATTCCACGCCGGTTTGGCTTTGGAGCCGAGACAGACGATGCGGGTCAAGGTCACCGCTGGGGTAACGGTGGATTGGGTGCGCCCGAGCACCCGTAACGCGGCACAATTCTCCATCTATGGATTTTCCTATTCGCTCAGCATTGTGATAGGCATTCGTAATAGCATTTACTCTGCTCATGTACCTATCCCCGGTTATTTAAAAGAAGTTTTTTGTGGGGGAATATCACGGCTTTAGGTACTCGGTGGCCCTATTCACGACTTTCAAAGAATGCTCCGATAACTAAACACCGCACAGACCTACTGCATTAGTGAATCTGACAGAATGTCTGTGGAATTACATCCCCCCTCACCACACCCCTAAAAACTCATCCAGTGTCCAAAACCACTTTTATCGACTCGCCAAAAAACACACACACACACACACACACACACACCCACACACACACATACACACACAAAGCATGGGGCATGTCAGCTCTCAGTTCATTTATTATTGTCTTTACCATGGTTCAATTGCATTGCGCGATTTAAAGCACGTGAGTGCCTATATAGTATATATGTAGAAAATAATATCTACAGCAAAACATCCAAAATTACAAAGGCTACAATGCTTAAAAAGTAGGTTCATCAAGGAAGCCCATTTTTACTTGCGTTGTGTTCCCAACCATGCGATTCCAACGCGGGCTATTCGCAACGTCTGATAAGGCACGTTAACAACTGACAAGCCGCCACCGCTGCCACTTATTCATAGATGGTTGATATCGCAGCTTGGGCGTCAGCAGCGCGGCCCACAACGCGTCGGCGCCAGCGCACGCAGCTGTTGGCACTCGGCAGCCGGTGTTGCGACATTTCACTTTGTCTTCTAAATTATAACATTAATATTCACATTCTCGTTCTCCCTCCATCGGTTTCCGGCTCCACTCCATTCCTCGTCGGTTGCGGCCGGCCGCGGTGATTGGCCGACACTGGTCACGTGATCGTGACGTCAGCCCGCCGGCTAGCGGCGTTCGCGCGGTTTCTTGGCGCGGTTTGTTGGCGCGCTTTTTTCTAACCGCAGGCGCGCCTGGGCACATCCTCGCGGGTAATTCCAGTTCTGTTTTGGCCATAATAATTTGTGAAGCCCTCTATTTTTGCCACTGAATTTGATCATTCTAATTTCTATTTCTAAGAAAACAAGGATGGCACCCACGCTGTCTCGCCCCCGCCCACCTCTTGTCCTCCCTCTCATGGGCCCTTTTCCATCTGAGCCTACCCCCGAACCCTTCCCTGACCCGATGATGGACCAAGTTCCAGAGGGCCAGTCCTTCATCCATTTGACTCCGGATGGCTCGTTCCGCCGCCTCTCCCCATTTAAATTGCAGAGGGAGATGGACCTACTAATCGGCCCGTGCGTAAACGCAAAAGTGATCCGGTCAGGCAACATATTGATCAGGGTTTTTAACAAGGACCAGGCTCGGCTCGCCCTGAGCATCACCACCTTCTGTGGCACGGCCGTTACGGCCGCCCCGGCTACCCGCCTAAACACCGTGGCGGGCACTTGCTACTCCCCAGCACTCCAGTACATCGAGGAGGCCGAGATTCAGGCGGAGCTCCGCTCACAAGGAGTAGTAGAGGTGACGCGCCTCCGATCTAAGGGGCCTAACCCAAACCCGCTGCTTAAGCTGAGGTTCCTTGGCCTCGAGTGTCCCCCTGCCGTGTACGCCGGCTACGAGGTCCTGACTGTGAGCCCGTGGGAGGTGAACCCGCGACTCTGCCGGCGCTGCGGACGTTACGGGCACCTCCAATCGACCTGCCGTTCCAAAAAGGCAAACTGTCTCCGCTGTGCCACACTGGGACACAGTTCGGATGAGTGCCAGAGTGAGGAGGTCCAGTGCGCCCACTGTGGCGGCCCTCATCCCGCCTGGGATAAGAAGTGCCCGGCGTGGCACTTCCACAAGGAGAAACTGAACCGGAAGTCGCCCTCCGCCCCTCCACCCCGCCCGGCCGGGCACTCTATCCCGAGCGAGCGTCGATACGCCGACGCCGTCCGGGGGACTAACCCCCGCTGCTCGGGACCTCAGGCTGGACCAGGGCAGCGCTCCGACCCGAATCTGACCCCGCCGCTCAGTACGGCAGTGGAGCTCCCTCGTCCGTCGCACACAGAGTCGACGGAAACTGTCACGGCACCAGTCCCCCAGACTGTCCCCACCCTCGACGAGACGGACACGGTCACAGAGACTCCGAAGGGAGCAGCTCAGCCTCTGGCCGAGGTGCCAACTGAGACCCAGCCAGACCACGTCCACATGACCCCTGCAGCAGAACAAACTGACGCGGTCGCTGTAGCCAAGGCATCTCTCGACGACTCAGAGTCGGTGACCCCTGTCAATGAGATGCCCATTGAAACCCCTCAGGCTCCGCTTCCCGCAGGCTCCGCGGTCCCAGAGACCCCAGACGTTGCCAGCACGTCTGTTGACTCCGCAGAATCTCTAGATTCTCTTGACTCGCCCAACGATACTGTCGTTGAGGCACAGTTCACACAGGAACTTTTCGAAAGCCTCGTCTCCGCCGACCACCCAAAACCCAGGCCCATGTCTTCTCGAGCACCCTCTCCCGCTCGTATTCGAGAAAGGTCTTCATCTCGCTCCAGCTCTCGCTCCCTTTCGACGGGAAGACGACTTACTCGTTCGCACGCTTATACCCAAGAACACCAGTAAACAAACACACACACGGAAAATGACTCAATTTTCTGAATTCTTTCTCCAATGGAATACGAACTCGTTGGTATCCCATTGGGGGGAATTCAAGAACTATATGTTAAATAAAAAACCGTTACTAGCCGCCATCCAAGAGACCCATTTTAAAGATTCAGATACATATAATTACAATTTCAACATTCGTGATTTCTCTTTATATACAAATAACGTAAATGAAACCCACCGCCGGGGCGGCTCGGCTCTTTACGTTTCAAATAAACTTTTGCATCATGAAATTTTCCTCCGAACTACGCTTAACGCAGTCGGAGTGAAAGTTAAAATTGCACAACTAGACCTCACTGTCCTTTCGATCTACCTTTCACCTAGCCTCCCACTTTCCTGTCCTCTACTCCTAGACCTTTTCTCCCAACTTTCTCCGCCTTTTATAATCATGGGGGACTTCAATGCACACCACCGCACATGGGGGTGCACAGAAACAAACTCGCGCGGAACACAACTTCTTAACGTAATTAACTCACTCGATTTAATACTCATTAACAATCTCACGCCCACATTCACACGCACACGCAATGGAGAGGTCGTACACTCCGTCCTAGATCTCGCCATTACAGACACAAACACCGCGACACTTTTTACACAACACGTTGAAGATGACTCTCTTTTCAGTGACCACTACCCCATACATTATTTACTCAACGTCCCTTCAGGACAGACAAACTTTAATTTTTTGCCAAGGTGGAACTTTAAGAAGGCCGACTGGGCGTCTTTCCAAAAGTATATTGACGAATCATTGTCTACACCTCCACCAGATATAAACACATTTCTTAACGTCATTCTTGCCGCTGCGCATCAAAACATCCCCCATACTGGCCCCCCAAAAGAACATAGAAGAGCTCCCTGGTGGAATGCAGACTGCCAACGCGCCGTAGCCCTTCGGAAACGCGCACTCCGCCAGTTCCACCGCCGCGTGTGCGAAGCAAATGCGGAAGCCTATCGCAAAGCAAAACATGAAGCCTCTTTGATAATTAACCATGCTAAAACCACCGGCTGGCAAAACTTTTCAAATAACTTTAATCGTTTTACTCCTTTGTCCAAAATTTGGTCACTAATAAAATGTTTCTCGGCAAGACGCAGCAACCCTTACAAAATCCCTCATCTTCACATCAACAACACCCACTACACTATCCCTTCAGACGTTGCAACACTCTTCGCACAGCATTACGCGAACATCTCCTCAGCACAACAATACACACCGCAGCTCACCGAAACACTCGCACACGAACTGTCTACACTGAACTTTCACTCAAGCAACCGTGAACTGTACAACACACCATTCACGAACCACGAACTTACACATGCCATCTCGCGATGTGGCAACACATCAGTAGGACCGGATCAGATTTCTTACTCCTTTTTCAAAAATCTGACTGAATCCGGTCTCAATACCTTTTTGTCTTGCCTAAACTCTCTATGGGAGAACAACAGCTACCCAGAACCCTGGCGCACCAGTACCCTTATACCTATCCTAAAGCCTAGGAAACCACCTTCTAACCCATCTAGCTATCGTCCTATCTCTCTAATTAGTTGTGCCTCTAAAATAATGGAACGTATGGTCAATGGGCGAATTAGGGCTTACCTAGAAACGAACTCCCTTCTCTCTCCGTTTCAAAATGGCTTTCGTCACGGCCGATCAACTGCAGACAATATAACATACATTGTAGATGATATCCAACGTGGTTTTCAAACAAGAAAATATACCCTTGCTGTCTTTATTGATCTCCAAAACGCATTCGATAAAGTAAATAAAATTGCCCTTCAAATAAAACTTCATAAAAAAGGATTGCGGGGCAGAATGGCCTCATACATTACGAACTTTCTGAGCAACCGAACTTTTAACGTAAGATGCGGCAACACATATTCACCTCCTTTCCGACAGGAGCACGGGCTACCACAAGGCAGTGTGTTGTCCCCGACCCTTTTCCTTGTAATGATTGATGACATAATAGAAACACATAATGCTAAACTTAAATTTTCAATATATGCCGATGACATAGCCGTCTGGGTTACTGATTCATCTGTACAAACGGCGTATGCTTACATGAACACAGCACTTGATGATATTAGAAAGTGGTGCGACAAATGGGGACTTACCGTGTCCCCAATTAAAACAGTGGCAATGATATTCGCTCCCCCTAGAAGCCGTTTTACTAACCCCCCTAGACTACAGATAAACAACATACCTATTGAATATGTAAACCAATTTAAATATTTGGGAGTCACCCTAGACAATAAACTCACATTCAATAAACACTTCGAAGATATAGCCCAACGCTGCGAAAGACGTATAAACATACTTAAATGTATAGCTGGTAAGAAGTGGGGCGCAGATAGAAGCACACTTCTCAGACTATACATTTCCCTAATTCGCCCTATCTTGGATTATAATGCTTTTCTATTTGATGATATAGCTTCTAAGAAAATTGAGTCATTGCAAATAATCCAGAACAAAGCACTCCGCATAGTTGCGGGCGCGATGTCCACGACAAACATAATATGTCTCCATATTGAACTAAATCTGCCTCTACTTGTACAGCGTCGGAAATACCAGCTCCTTCGGTTCTTCGCTCGGTCGTGTTCCTTCCCCTCTCACCACACATATAAAATACTAAATAACCGTTACACTGAAGATCTGCAGCCGACTGCTCCTCAAAGACGCTTCCTGGTTATCGCCTCTCGAATTCAAATGGTACTCAACGTCTTTCGAATATCCCATCCGAACATCATCCCCTCACCTCCACTTTCCTCTTTCTTCTTACAACAAATCAAGCATATCGATTTCCTATTTACCGATAAAAAGACAAAAATTACAAAAGAGGAAGCACAACAGCTGTTCTTCGAATACAAAGAAGAACATCAGGCAGACGCATATATTTATACCGATGGTTCACGGAAAGACGGACACTCTGCCGCAGCTATAACTTCGCAAAATTATGAAAAAACAAACAGACTTCACGACAGCCACAGCATATTCAGCGCTGAATTGATAGCGATTAGTTCAGCTCTTAAATATATTGCAAGCAAACATTTTCAGAAAGCAGTGATATGCACAGACTCGGCTTCCTCTGTTAGGACTCTGACGACAAGAAAAACGGAAACACATCCTTTGGTATACAAAATAAAAAAGCAGCTGATTGCTCTACAGAAAGAAAAGAAAGAAGTAAGAATCCTCTGGATCCCCGCACATATGGGGATCCAAGGTAACGAACGGGCAGATAACCTTGCCAAAACTGGACTCCTCTTCTCGTCTCGAAATCATCTTCCTCTTCCAGTTATAGATTTCATCAACCATATTTACGTCTCCTTTATGCAACTTCGACAAAGAGACTGGGACACAATCAAACATCCACATCTCTATCCGATTAAAATTTCCCATTTCTCTTCTTCAAATCAACCTACAAGACAAAAAGAAACCGTGCTGGCCAGACTGAGGCTAGGACACACGTATCTTACACACTCGCATATATACGACCGTGTACCACCTCCAATATGTCACTATTGCCCCACACATCCAAGATACACAATACAACACTTCATACTCCACTGCCCACGCCTACAGCACCACAGAAGACACATTATAAGACACATTACCACACATGGCCTCAGTCTGGATTTGCCAACTATCCTTGGCGACCATCATCCAGAGCTTCATGATTTGCTTTTTATCTTTCTCCAGGAGGCACGTCTTATTAACAGCATATAGAAACCACCTCACTGAGACAAAAGGAACCCCGAGCACGGGCATGAGTGGGCGCCGTGGGGACGATAGTAACGCGGCGCCCAGTTCCTTACTCGTACAACCTAAATCCCGGTCGTTTATTTACATTTTCCTTTTGATTGCATCGTGTGCTCGCGCTCTAGCCATTGATGTTTCTTGCACTGTGTAACTGGCGGCCCCCTATTGCGCTCTCCGACCCGCTAAGGCGGAGTCGTTGAGAGCCAACGCCGACTGGCAGCCAAGGTGTTTACGCCTGTGGTCGCCGGGCGCATATTTACGTCTGGACAACGAGTTGCGGGAAAAAGTGCTGATTGTGTTGCAGTTTTAGGAGCCGGTGATTAGGCTGGATTTTTGGGTTACTTTTTCGTTCCGGTTCATGTATTTCATAGTGTTTGGCTTTTGAATATTTTAGCTCTTTCCGATAAATATTACTTGCTTTACAACTTTTGTAAAAACGTTTCATTTTTTATAAGCCGACATTCAGAGTCCTAAAAATACATCAGCACTACAATCATTGTAAACAAACAAATGGAGCACACAACTTGGCTCTGTTCCAAGGCCATTTTTTAGTTTATCTGGTGGTTTTCTTGCTCTTGTTCGTCGTTTTGTTGGATGTTTTGAATCCCTTAAGATTGACTTATATCATATTTAAGAAGCATGTTGACTGAAAACAATCTGAAGTATCCAGGAGGCTGACAGAGGTCCTGACTACGGAGCAATATCAATATCAATATCAAGTTGAACAAGTTATGAAATTTTGGTTGATAAACGCAAGTTGATCGGGTTCATATATCAGCAAGAAAAAGTAAAATTAAAAGAGCTTATTGTCCAAAAACAAGCTATAACTTTGCAGACCTTGGAGCAATACTGAAGAGCACGCTGAGCAGGATCATGCCAGAAAATGTTGACTGATGAGCGCATATTGATGTATTGGTATGAAAATTGAACGATAACTTACAACAGCAAGATAAATTAGTGCTAACTATCAAGTCAAAATCTAG